AGTATTTAAAACTAGGAAATCATCATCATGAACAAGGGTAGTAGTTGGGAAAAAGGTTGGATCAGAATTATAAAAGGAAGAAGATTGATGAAATGGAAACTGATTTTCATGGAACTTTACATCCCTACTGATGAATAGTTTTTTAGAGTCAAGATTAAACAGGAAATAACCTTTTTGGGTTGGATAGTATCCCAAGTATCCCAAAAAGACAGAAGCAAAGGCTCGAACATCAAACTTATCATGAGGAGCAAGATTTGTTGTAAAACAGAGACACCCAAAAACTCTAAAGTGTTCATAAGAAGGAGGTTTATGATATAGTAATTCAAAAGGAGTTTTCCAACATAAGACTGAAGAAGGCAACCTATTGATAATATAGCAAGCAACTAACACACATTCTCCCCAGAATTTAAAAGGGACCCGAGATTGAAAACGAAGAGCCCGAGCAACTTCTAAAAGATGCCTATGTTTACGTTCTGCAACCCTATTCTGTTGAGGAGTGCGCACACAAGTACTTTGATGGATAATTCCCAAAGATACAAACAAGGGAGAACACTCAGAATTGAAAAATTCACGACCATTATCACTACGAACAATTTTAACTGAGAGAGAAAACTGATTCTTAACCATTAAGATAAAGGTTCGAAGATAGGAAACAACATCATTCTTAAGTTTCAATAAGTAAACCCAAGACATCCTAGTATAGTCATCTACAATAGTTAAGAAAAAACGTTGACCATCATGAGTAGAGATTTGATAAGGCCCCCACAAATCAATATGAATCAATGTAAATAGAGTGGTGGTCCTGGAATTGCTAACTGGAAATGAAAGTCTAGATTGTCTAGCTAAAGGACAGATAGAACAATGTTGAACCGATTCATGATGCAAATTCTCATTATGAAACATAGGCAATTTTCTTAATTGAGAAGCTGGAACATATCCTAAACGAGCATGCCAAAGACTTGTTTTATTTGCATCAACAGATTTACAAGTATTGAGAAAAGTTTCAGAAGGTGTACATGCATCAACAGAATGTTCTAAGGTAGAAATAGAAAAAACAGAATTTGATGGAAACCTGAGCATGTATAGACCTCTATATTCTTTACCAATCACCCTCATCATGCCATTGTAAAGATCCTGCAATATGCAAAGATCAGGATAGAACAAAACATCACAGTTTAACTCATGAGCCAGTCTTGAAACAGAAATGAGATTATGAGTAAAGTGAGGCACATGAAGAACATTAGATAATTGAAGACCATTTGGGAGCCTAACAGAACCTATATGTGTGACAACAAAGGATTTTCCAGTAGGCAGCTGAACAAATTTAGGCGTGGATGTACAGGGCACAGGATTGAGCATGCATTTTAAGTCTGACAAAAAATGGTCAGTTGCTACAGAATCCAGAATCCATTCAATTGAATTATAAGTAAGAGAACAGAAGGTACCTGTCAGATTCACAGAGAAATCTGGACTGGAACTTTGAGCTGAAGATCGATTTAGAAGCCCCAGAAGTTGCTGATATTGTGTAGTTGTAAAAACTGGTGGAGCTGGAGTAGACACCTCACGATCAGAAGGAGTCACCATAGCAGCTTGGGAACCCTTCTTCTTGTTGAATTTAAAATCAGGAGGAAAGCCAATAAGGCGATATCAATTCTTTTTTTTATGGCCCTTCACCTTACAATGATCACAGACCCCAGTAAAACGTCAACGGTTGCCAGAAGCATTGGAATACAGTGCTGTAGAGTCCAAGAGGGGGACAACGTCGGATAACTGAAGGCGATGAGATTCCTCCTGACTAATCATGGAATAGGCGCTATTGACCGAAGGTAAGGGCTGCATCAACAGGACTTGACTTCGAATGGCAGTGTACGAGTCATTCAGCCCCATGAGAAACTGGAACAATCTCTGTTGAGAAACATGGCGTGAACTGGACTGAGCATTTTCACATGTACAGCTCGAGTAAGGTACCAGTGTATCATACTCGTCCCACAGAAGCTTCAACCGTGAGAAATACGCAGAAATAGAAAGCTCGCCTTCGACCATCGTGGTAATCTCATGATGAAGAAAAAATATGCGGGAACCGTCGACCTTGTCAAAGCGCTCCTTGAGATCGGCCCAAACGAACTCTGCACTGGAGGCAAAAACAATTCCAGCAGACAAATCCTTGCTCACCAAATTGATGAGCCATGAGAGCACAAGGGCGTTGCATCTGTCCCACTGTGCTTGAAGAGAGGACTGAAAATCATTGCGACAGCAACCTCTATCGATGAACCCTAATTTGTTCTTGGAGAGAAGTACGATTCGCATTGAGTGACTCCAGACGGTGTAGTTATCTGGTCCAGACAACTGATGCGAGATCAAGATCGTACCCGAAGTGTCCGAGGGATGGAGATATAGCGGGTGATTAAAGTCAAGAAACGTTGATTTGTTCATCGGGGCTGTGGTGTGTGGCATCGTGATAGATGTGGCGATGAAGAAAGAGCAGAAAGGTAACCTACTTCAGGAATGAGGAAAAAGAAATGAAGCAATAGCAGACCCGAGAAGGAGAAAAGGCCCAGTGAAATTGGGCTAGTCTGATACTATGTTAAAAAGTAATATAAGAGCTGTGGAAAAATTAATCTTCATTTCTCAACTCACAAATTACAATCTGTTTACATATATATATATATATATATATATGAACCTTTTCAATCTAACTGCCTAACTAACTTAAAACTACTTGTAACAAACTATTAACAGAAAAACTGATTACAAACTCAACAGAAACCATGTCCATCTTTTGGATTGCCCCACAGTTCCTTGTATTCGGGGTCTTAGAGATGTTCACAGCAGTGGGGCTTTTGGAATTCTTCTATAAGCAGTCCTTGGAAGGGATGCAATCGATTTTGACCGCCATGACCTACTGCTCCTACTCATTCGGGTTCTATCTTAGCTCCATACTCGTCTCCCTTGTTAACAAAATTACAGCCACTTCGTCTCATGGAGGGTGGCTAAGTGACAATGACCTTAACAAGGACAGGCTAGACCTTTTCTATTGGATGTTAGCTGCTCTTAGTCTCATCAACTTCTTCAATTATGTATTTTGGTCTGCTTTTTTATACTTATAGCCAGTATTTATCGGCTGGTGGACAACATCATGAGGACCCAAAAGCAAGGCAAGGAAGCTTAGAAGCACTCATATTGTATTAGTTATAGTTTATAGTTGCATAATAGATTCAATAAGATTTTCCTGCTAGTCATCATTATGGTCTAATATAGTGAGTGTTGACTGTTGCAGTTGAATTACAAGATTGAGCCAAAGCTGAGGATTGAGCACATCATTTCTCTTTTTTGGTGGAGGAAGACTTGAGTGGTAGGGTTCCATTACTTAATAGTTTTTTTCCCCTCAAGGATAGTTGTGGGTGGGATTCACCAATCTCAAACATTATGTTGAGATTGCTAGCATTATAGTTATTTATTTTGGTTGAAACTAAGGGGTTATGTGTAATATTTTAGAAGCAAGTAGTAGGTAAGAGTAATGTTTGATCATGTCTTTAGTCTAAGTATTCTTCCAATTTTGAAATTAATTTCTTTGTTTAAATTCATATATTTGGTTACATTTAAACTTCAACTTCATGGATGTTAATGTACTTTTTGTAAAATTTAAATATATTATTAATTAAATTTTAATATGTATTAATATCTTTGAATATTAAAATGTCACTTTCAAATTTATTGAATATAATAAAGTAAAATTTAATTTTATTAATATGCATTATAGGGAGTTTGATGTTAAGTTTGTATCTCGAACTTGTAATTTCGTTGCTCATAACTTAGCATCTTGGGCCCTTTGTACAAGGAGTTTTATGTTTTTTTTTTTTTTGACTCGATTTGTCTTAAGATTATTGCTTTTGACATATCAAACGATCTCTTTCCTGGTTAATGGATTTTCTTTTGCCCTTTATAAGATTTAGAAGGAATTTTTAACGTGGCCGAACATTCAAAATAATAATTTTAAAATTAAACAATAAGAGAAATTGGATTTTTTGACTCCTAAAGTTATAATAATATATGAACTAGGTATATAATCAAACCTGAAAATAAACAATTTAATCTTATGTTATGAATATAATCAAACCTGGATTTTGAAAGTTATGTAAATATTTTTTTGAATAATTTTATATGTAAAAATAGAGCTTTAATTGAAATCCTTTTATTCTACTTAACTCCGGCTTTGCAAATATATTACTCTAAACGGTAGATGTTAAGTTAGTCAATGGGCACACTTGTTATCTACTGCGGAAATATGTTGAATCTTGGTAATCCAACCTTCATTGACATGTGCTAAAAGTAATTATCGTATTTGTTATTTTATAAGTTCTGAATTTAAACACGACGTTTATAAAGATATTTGAATAGTTAAATCAAATGATTAAGAATCTCAAGAGTTCTAAAAGAATTAGGTTATTTATTTTGGTTTAAACTAGCTGGTTGTGTAATATTTTAAAAGCAAGTAGTAGGTAAGAATTGGGTATCTTTTTTGTGTCAATATACTTCAAACTTTGAAAACTTGATAATGCTAAAATATATTCTATCCAATTGTTGTAGTTTATCTAGCAAATTTGTATAATACGACAATTTACTAAGTCATTTTTCTGTTATATCTATTTTGTTGGTATAAGTGAGGCTCATAAGACCAACGCTCTAACCAACTGAGCTACAAGACCAAAGTATTTGTTGTTTTAAATTTATTTATTGGTATAAAACTTTTACTTTATATTTTTATCAAAATTTATGATGAGTGGCGCGGATTATTGTTATAGTCTAATTTTGTCCAGCCAATTAAACCAAACTAAAAACTATTCGAATGGGAATTTGAAATTTGTTTGTGCCTTGACATCGAATTGAATGGTGTTGGTGGCATGGCATTGATGAAGGTTCGTGTATGTAGAACGTGGACAACTCGATGCTTGAAGCCCCTTTACAATACCCATAGCCCAAATTCACCCATTTAAAGTCTATTTCATGTAACCCAAATTCATAATTGACCCAAGTATATAAATCATTAACCACGCACAAGTCAAACCCATATGACCCATTCACATATCATTGATCCCTTTGTTAAATCTGTCTACCCATTTCCATAACATATCACCCCTAATCTATAAATAAAAACGCATTTCACGGCCACAATAAAAAAGCCCAACTATTATTCACATATCCAGCAGGCCCGAAACATTAACCGAAACAGAAACCCTAATCCTAAGCTTCATTCAAGTGCCATCCCCGCCTCTCTAGAATCTTCCAAAGGAAGGTGGTTTCCAGCTGACGCGCGTGGTCTTCACGCGAGGACCTTCAAGCTCCTCCGCACGCGCATTCCAAAAGGTTCTTCATCCACTCAGCAGTTCCTTCACGACGGCAATCTAGCACCCATTTTTCAATCCAAAAAATGCCATGCAAAGAGAAATATACCATATTAGATTCTTTCTTTTTGTTTTTACCCTCGAATGATAATGACACAAAACGATAGCCACAACTAAACACAACCCACATGCCCTGAACTATGACCATTGCTATAAACTACACAACCCCACAGGACCTTAATCAGACACCTAACTTAAGCAAAGATGCCCACTACTAAAAAGCAACTAATAAAGCAACCAGCAACACTACAATACAAAGGATAAAAACAAATGATCTGACAATTGAAGCAAAACAGCCAACTAGAAATCAATGATGCACCACTACCTACAAACAGCACACTCTGCACTTCGACCGACCACTTCACACCCTCCAATATGAACCACGGCCAAATTACACGGGAACACCTTCCCCGGGCACTGCTGCGGAGCTTCAAACGATGATCGCCCACCTTTGTTTAAAACTGGACCAAAATCAAAACAACAACTACACTTCGAGACCACCACACGCATATTAGTTTTGTAGCTCACCCAACGCTAGGAAGAAAACCCAATAAAGCAAAGACCATACACCAGCAACCAAATTCTTTCAATCTCACAAGGTGGTCAGTACAAAAGCTTCCATCAGCAGAGCATTTTCTCATCAGTCAAAAACTTCACAGCAAGAACTAATATGAAGGGCAACATCATTCATCCCTCATAGAAAAGTAGTCACAACAGGCGACAACACCACCAAAAACAGTATATTGCAGCACTTACAACATGATACAGCACATAACAGTAAAAAACAATCAAGATCTTATCCAAAGAACACAAAACTGAAATCAAAACAGTAGTCTAAAGGAACAACACGTCAAAAATGAAGTTACCACTAGACTTTGAAAATGGATGATATACACAATCCTTCAAAAGTGAGGCCATCCGCCATCGCGTTGCAACACTTGAAAACATGGGAAAACTTAAAGTTCCCAAAACTCTTCACCAAACGATCAAACTCCACAATAATTGGTCACCAAATCCATGGTCTACGAGAAACATTTTCTTCCATCGCAAAGAATAGCCACGAGGAGAATTTAACTCTGGACATAGTTAAACTTCACCCTTTCAATGCTACAAAACAGATAAACTATAGCCAACAAAAATGATCATCACAGATAAGGGCAAGAAAACACATTAGATATCCAAAACACTACCATGTTAGAGTTTAACACCTCAATGAACAAATCCAAACTTGGCCAAGTAGATTCAATGCAACCCTTCAAAACTGTTTTAATTGTTGTAGTTTCAAGAAAATTTACTGATAATCCCTCCACAGAACTAGAAAACAAACACCCTCAATATCCCTTCCCCACCTACGATAAAAATTAGCTGACCCTTTTTTCCCATATGTAATGGGGTAAAGGGAGGTATGATAGTAGGCTTCCCCCAACGTCAGGTTGAGAGCATCTTCCGTGGAGACCTCCGAATTATGAAATGCCCTCCGTAGGACTCGATCCCTTCCTCCACCTACGATAAAGATGACCTTATAATAAAATTTGAAAAATCTTTTCATTCTGGATAACTCCTTGCACAACAATACATGAACCACAACAGGTCAAGAGACACCGTTTATAAAAGAATAATCCAAACTTATCTCCAACTCAACATAAAAAAGTTTGGATTTAATGATTTATAAAACAAAAACCGTTCTAAAATTAATCTTAACCCACAATTACACTATCCCACTTGAATCCCCAAACACAACTAATACACTAAAAACAAAAACACCATTATACCACACCATTCAAAATTCACCACCTTCCACACTCTCTGTTTACTTGAATCTTCTAATTGTTGAAGTTTTAATCGCCAAACCCAACCCTCTTACAATCTAGGAACTTCTCGCTAACTCACCACGTAATTCTAAAGACTTACTATTTCATTTCCAATAGAGCTAATTCTCTCACCATCTCATTTTCATCACCTTCAATTTCAATTCTGAGGCTCTTCCCTAATTCTAGACTTAACATTGTCTCCCTAATTTGCATTTCCCAGAGAGATACTAAGTCTGAATTAGAGAGGGATCTACCTGAAAGCTCTGGAGTTTCCTTCCCCTTAGGTTTCTTCTTCATCTTTCTGATCCCTCGATCGCTTTTCTTCAGATCTTGTTCTAAAATAACTCTGTCTTGAAACACCCTTATCAAGCTATATCTCTTTCCTGATTTTTTTTCGGTGTCAGTTCTGGGAAGAACGATTCAAACTCTAATGTATTCTCAGGACAAATTTTTTTCATTGAAACAGAACAATCACTCTCTCTAGTTTCGATATCCACACATTCCTCCCAATCAGACTTCTTAGTCAAAGGCTTACAAGATTCCTTATCTACTCCATATTCTACAGTGGGCTTAATGCCCATACATAGCATATCTTCATTAACCCTCAGCGATAAGGCCCTCAAAAGAGTAACATTCGGACCCATGGAAAGATTTTCAACTTTGTTATCATTTTTAGACTTTATTGATAAACTAACTTCTCCACACATTGTGTCAGTCCATTTTTTTTTTGCTTTTTTCAGAAACATGCGTCTCTTCTCTACTTCTGGGTTGATAGACCCCTTCTCTTTCCCACCAATTTCAATGTAATTTTCGACTGCCTTTAATGAATCCTCCTTCAATTCGTAGCCCAACAAAATTGATTCCCCTAATTGTCTTGCCACAACCTCTCCCGCGTGGTTTGGTTATTACTAAAATCTTTCTCAACAAACACACCTTTTAATTCTTCATATTCGACAGATAAATTGCTATAATTTTCTATCGGTAAAACATTTATCGACAAGGCTTCCGATTGACTTATCGATTCCAGACAATAATTAACCTCTTGAGAGTAGGAGTGTTTCTTAGCTTTTAACGGATCAGATGTATTGTCCTTGAAACCTATCTCTACCAACCTAATCTCATAGATTAAACTCCCAACTTCTAATTCTACTACTTCATCAATCCTTTTAGCTTAACTTTTGGAAATCAACAGTGCTACCTTTTCAGTCATACACATGGTTTAAATTTTTTCCGAATGCTTCGAAAGACCCCCACAATTCTGCCACCCACTTAAGAGTGGTTCCGTTCCAGCAATGAAGAGGGACACATGAGACCTCCAACCATGTTGCACGTTCTCTTTTCCAAAGCTACACCTTATTGAATATCTCTTTCAAGTAAGACCAATCTAGATCCTCTAGCGTTAAAAACAAATCTTTGTCATCAATTACCATTAAGAAAGTTTTATCTCCCAATCTTTCAATCTTTATATCTCCTAACCCCGAGTCTCGGTGTAATACTCTGAAATGATGTTTGGTTCGTAGGAATCCTTTAGATTTAAGGGAATCAGAATTGAATTCTATCACTTTTCTATGTTTGATTCAAGTTTAAAAGGGAATTAAAATCCTAAATAACTTCAATTTCCATTAAGGGAGACAAAGTAAATTCTATCCATAACATGATATAATTAAAATCTTTTTGAGAAGGAAATGTGAAATTTGACCATACAACACTCATCATTATTTTTCATATATTTACTTTTTATATTTCTTATATTTCTTACTTACTTTATTTGTTTTGTTTTGTTTTTTTATTTTTATATTAATTTTAATTATATATTTATTTTCATTTGTATTTTCCTCTTGTTTGTTTGTTTATTTATTTATTTATTATGTATATACAATTATTAGTATTTTCTTTTCTTTTATTCTTATTATTATTTTTTTGCTAGTTATCTTTATTTTGATTATTTTATTTATTTTTCTTCATTTTTTTTATTTCTTTTGTTTTTTATGTTCTTTATTTTATTTAGTTTTTTATCTTTATTTTAATTTTTATGTCTTTTCTTTATCTTATTTTCGTTTTTTCATTTATTTTTATTTCCTTTATTTTATTTTTCTTTAGTTTATTTATCTTCATTGCCTTTTTTTACTAACATGCTTCTCGACTCTTTTAAGGGTACACTTCCGAATCCATCAAGGGTAAGTGATTGAGATCTTTATTTTTACCTTTTAATTTAAAGTTACAATCTTCTTAATTAAAGACAACTGGAAATTACGTAGTACCGAAAGAGAAGTTTAAGGATGCTAACCCTTCATTGACTTGTAAGTTTTTGGTAACTAATCGACATACTTCGATTGAGATATATCGAAATATTGTTCTATCTTTTGGTAACTTATTAACATATTTTGATTGATATGATTTTAACGTATGATGTTTATTAGCATGATTTTTATAATTTATTGAAATGAATAATCAATTAATAAAATGAAAATTTAATATTTTTTAAATTTTTATAATATATTGCTAAATTTAAGTTATAACTCGAACTAAAATTAAACAAAAAACAAGAAGAAGAATTCTGTCATTTTACATTACTGGAATCAAATTCATCTGACATGTCTGCGAACCAAACAGAATATGGAATTGGATTCCAATTCAATTTCCTGCCAACCAAACATGTTTCAGATTCAGATTCCAATTCCTGACAGATTCCAATTCCTTCACATATTTCAATTCCCTCAGAAACATTCTAGCGAACCAAACACCACTTGAATGTTGCAAATCGTATGCATCACTCCAACTGGGTATTTTTTTCATCCTCCATACATCCTCAGGTTCCACATGTCCTATAACTTTCCTTTCCGCCATAACCTTTTGATCGTTTGTTTCACCTATCTCCCTTTCTGAATTGTACCTTCACAGATTTGACGTTTTTCTCTAGTTTCTTTTCTCTGGTGTACTCTTTTCTTTTGAAAGTTCCTTTCCTGGGATTTTTTCCACTCTTGAGATTGACTAGCTTTACTACCAGTGTGAATCCATAAACTAATCTCTCCATTGTCCTTAGCACATCATTTCTTCTTGTAAACATTACAAAACCAAATCGGTTTCCACCTTTACTCAATCTCCTAGCAATGAAGGAATCGATCACATCCCTATGTCTTGCAAACCAAAGTTATAATTCTTTCCAGACTATCTTCGTCGGAATATTTTCAACAAACAAAGTAGTTGCTTGTTGATTTTAGTTTTGGGCATGGAAGGATGTTGACGATGGAGTGAATATTCTCATGTTTCCCTGGTGGCAGGGCCGTGGCTAGGTTGTCAGGAGCCCTATGCAAATTCTTATAAATAGGCCCCTATTTTCTAGATATATTCGATTCTGGGACCTTTATTTTTATGCTTCTTAATGGCAACAATTGATAGATATACTCGATTTCGGGACCCTTATTTTTATGCTTCTTAATGCAACAACTGATAGATATACTCAATTTTGAGGCCCCTACTGATAGATATATTCAATTTCAAGACCCCTATTTTATGAGAAGGTTAATACTTGATAGATATACTCGATTTCATAAGAGCATGCATTTATCATAAAACCTAGTACAAGCTGCCAACTTGTACATGTATTATGGATGCTCGTATTTTAAAATAATGATGTTCTAAACCCTATTTTTTAAATAAATGGATGATTATTAAAATAATGATAAATAGAGATATATTCGATTATGGGACCCCTATTTTATATTTCTTAATGGCAACAACTGATAGATATACTCGATTTCGAGACTCCTATTTTTATGCTTTTTAATGGCAACAACTGATATATATACTCGATTTTGGGCCCCTATTTTTATGCTTATTAATAGCAACAACTGATAGATATATTCGATTTTGAGGCCCCTATTTTTTAGGCCCTGCGTGATCGCACACCTTGCACCCCTCAGCCACACCCCTGCCTGGTGGATACACTAAAACCTAAAATCTGATGCAATACAGAGCTCCCCCTATTCGATTCACAAAAAAAAGAAGAATATAAAAAAAGCTTTTTCATTTTTGAACCACA